ACCGTACTAGTAATAGTTATACCCGTAGGCGTAAAAGCCTGCCTATACTCCGTGTATTATTAGAGTTCGGAAATCATAATATTAGCGCGACCCAGTATAAGTATCTCCCTAAATAGCTAAGTATACTCCTTTAGCTCTATAAGACTAAGGCGCCTAAAGTCTTTATCCGATAATATTAACCCTAATAAAGGAGCGGGAGTAATAGGATAAGTATTCTTTTCTGCTATAATATTAGGAGGGATTAGGTCTAAAACTTTTACCTCGCCTATAACCTTATAAGGAGGAGATAAGGCTAGTTATTCCGCCCTAAGAATAACCTCCTCCGGAGACGATACGTTTAGTCCCGATACTATCTTTTCTACGACCTTTAGGGGAGGAGAAAAGACTAGCATAACTATCTTATTAGTAATATTTATTACCAGAGGAAGTAAGGCTAGTTTAGTCACCTTATTAATAACCTTAGGAAAAGGCAGCGAGGCTAACTATAATACTACCTCTTTTTAGACCTCCTAAGGAGGAGAAGGGGCTAACGCGATTAGTATACTAGGAGCCTCTACGGGATATATAGCTATAGGTAATATCGCCGTTATCGCTTCCTTAGCTATAAGAGTATCCTAAAACGCCGCGTAGGCGTTAAGATACGGTTCTTAATCCTAGAAGAAGGGTTAGCGATACGGTTATAACCTTAAAGGGGGAGGAGGTTTTATAGGGGCGTTCTTATTATCGTTACTAATAAGGGTAACCGTTATAAATGACCTTTACACGTAGCTTTTAAGGTATACTGGGAGAGGAGTATACCGGTATATCTATATAGAGTATATATAGTATTTCTTCCCCCGATTAATCTAGCTACGATAAAGACATTTATACTTCTTATCGGTAATATCGCGTGTATAAGGGAGGTATAGCTTAGTATAAATACTACTAAAAGGGTATTTAGGAGGCCGACTACCAGCCGATTTCTTCTTCTTAGGGGGCGGTAATAGCGTTAACGCGAACTATTATACGGTTAGTATCGCCTTAAGGCGTAAGAGTATCATACCTATATCGTTATTAGCGGCGTGCTTACTATTATTATTACTTCTATTATTACCAGGGGCTAGTATTATCTATAAAACGATAAGTTAGAGGAGGGTTCTTTACGAAAGGATCATGGGCGAGAAACGGCTTACCTTACACGGGGAGCTCTTAAACTAACCGAGTATTACCAAATACTATCTAAGAATAGGGGAGTTAGGAGAGTCGTTACTATAAGGAAGTATGAGTATATACGGAACTACGGTTATTATTATTATTCTTATTAAAGGTAGGGAGAAGAATAAAGGAAGAGGAAGCCTATAAGGAAAATAAGGAAGCTATATCTATAAATAAGATCTACACGAGGGAGGCCTATATTACTATTTCAGGCACGTGTATGAAGGTTAGCTAGCGACTTAAGATTTCTTTAATATTAAGGTAAGGGCGAGGTAAAATAAAGGAACGCGACTATTCCTTTATTACCGCGATATAAGGGGGAGCCGAACCACGATAAGAACGCGCGGTTATATAACCCCCGGAGAGAGAGGGAGGGGATAGTATTACGGGTTAACCCCGATATAAGGATCCGGCTATACTTCGGATTTTCCTGACTACGCGCTTAGTTAATAGACCTATATCGCTAAGTTATCGCTAGCTTATAGCTAGCCTAGCGCTATAGACTTTTCTCCTTTTTCCTTTTTCCCTCCTTAGTTCTAGATACTCTATTATTACGACTTTACTTAGTGCTATAACCTGTGACTAGTCGTTTATATTTAGGTAGGTTCCTAGGCGCTTATTATAGCATAAGTAACTACTATATATTAGCCGCTACGATACTACTTCGGTACTATTAGGGTATATATATAGTATAACACGAATAATACCTTTGTTATAGGGACGATTATTATTACTAGGAGAAGGTATTTATAGCTATTAGTATACTACTATCACGGTGCTACCACGATATAAAGATACTTATATTACGATAATATTTACGGTTAATTTTATAATTATTATTACTATTACTATTATACTACCTAGTTAACCCCGCGTTACTATAATACCACCTATAAACTATAGACTATATACTAGAATTGAAGGGGAAAATTATAAATTAAGAATAAAGAACTAGAAGTTACTATTAGTTAGTACGTGTCGCACGTCAAAATAGCACTTTTATAATTAACTTTATAGAGCAGAAGTCTCGCGTGTGAGTATTATATCAAGTTATAGCTATATAAGTCTCTTATGCCCTTAATTTAGGTAGTAAAGACGCTATTATAGGTACTATATCTTTTAGATCCTATCTATTCTTTTCCGGTATCCTCCCTTATGATATCCTAATACCTAACATCCCCGAGGTCCGAAGCCCTTAGTCAGGCATAGATCCCCTCGGGACTATAACGTGGTCCGTGTGCCTATACGATAGTGCGGTGCTATAATAGTAGGCCTATAAGACCGTAAGCGGGAACGTAATAGAGAATACCTATAATAAGCTCTATAGCGTTATAGGAAGGAAAAGAGGAAAGGAGGAGTACCTTACCCTTTATTATCTACTATTTTTACGGGCATAGGCGGAGCCCTGCCTTTCCTGCCTGCCGCTGGATATAGTAGCCCCCCCCCCCCTAAGGGAGGCAGGAACGCCTAGCCTACCTTTTCTCTTTCTTAATTAAATAGAAGGAATAATAGGCACGGTCCCCGGGGACGTAAGGAGGCCGAAGATAGTATCCAGCGGCTACTACACGGCGGAAACGCCGTAGCACCCTTTTAGCCCCCGCCCCCTTACTAACGACCGGCCTAGGCTAACCCGAACTATAGCTTATTACCCTTCCCGTTAGCTACTAGCCTAAAGGTATAATCCAGATATATAAAAGGGATAAACCGGGGCTATATTAGCCCCGTAACGGTATTACTCTAACTAAGGATAAGTATAGAGGTTTTCCCTAGGATCCCGGGTTTTCCCCTTTATAACTCCCCGAGAAGGACCGTATAGTCTAAGCTAGACTCCTATAGATTAGATAGAATAGCGGAGTAATAATAATAATAATAATAATAATAATAATAATAATAATAATAATAATAATAATAATAATAATAATAATAATAATAATAATAATAATAATAATA